ACCAAAGTTCATTTGCACAAAATTCTGAAAACGTCATTCTACGCATTGTGATCTGCTCTTTCAAATGAGACTGGTCTCGATTAATTCTACGGCGCTGGTTCGACCAATTGGCCTTATCTCTTGAAACACCTTTTCTAAAAATGGTATATAGTACCAAGAAAATATTATCTGAGAGTAACATACTTTTAATGCCACCAAAAGATAGCCCATGATCAATAGTATATATGGTAAAAAAATCTCGGTTACATCTCTTATCGTTCTCTGAAAAATGAAAATTTACTGAAAAATAGTGCTCTAAAAGGTATACTAAATATAGCCTACCCCTTCATACTTGTAACGCGCATATCTCAAGAATGACTCGGCCGTTTGAGCAGAAATTTTCAGTTTATTCCTAACTCTATGTGGGCTATCTACTGTGAAAATATCAGCCAACTCGGTGACATCGATTGAGCAAGGTTATGCTTAAAATGGTCGTGGCTTACGTGCAATGCCTCATAGGCCGAAATAGCTTAAAACAAAAAGCTCATTTCTGATTGGTCGGCATCCTAGCCAGTGGGAAGGACGGATGTAAAATTCGACCTCAGATTCCGATTTCCCGACCTCAATTGCCTTCGGTGAAACTTTAGAAGCTACGCCTAAAGAAACTTCATCTCTTGTGTTGTTTTGACCTTGCCGTAAACAAACAGACAGCCTCCTTTTATTTCGTATGACCCTCTCTTCAGCCGCGGAAATAGTGTACCAATTTTCCAAGTATCTTCTAAAAATTATCATTGCCCATACTGCCTACCGTTTGACTCAATCCTCCTAAGCAGGAAGAACCTTAGTACCTAAAAGAAGTATCGCAAAAGTCATATTCATAACATAAACGTGTCTTGCAGCTTTAGTCCTCACGTTTTAAGAAATATTTTTTATTCTGAAATAGGACAGCGATAAATATTATGCATGTGTGGCTGTGCGTGTATGCCTGTGCCTGTGCCTACTGGTAGATGTGGGGTGTGGCTGTGGGTATGTGGCTATGGCACAGTGGAGAGCCAGGCGGACATATGCGAAAATATTCTTTTCCACAATCTAATCGTTTGCGTAGATACATACATATGTGATCTATCATTTCGTAAAATAGCGGCTCTCAAAGTTTTATAGAGCTCTAGAAAAGAGTCTGACCAGGCTTGGGCCCAGAAATCGGCATAAATGAAGAAAGTCAAGCCGCTCAGCAATATAACACAATATTCCAGAATCAAACAATATGGCAAAAAACTTGCTCATCTATGGACTTTATGGTAAAAAAAATTATCGTAATCCAGTTAATAATATAGTAAAAAACAAAGGATCTCGAGCCCCATAACCTATCTGAAAACATAGCACTTCCTATATTGTAAGCACTACAAAGGAATAAAGTCTGATCGAGCTCACATGTTTACCAAATGCTCCTACGAACGTGTCCTACTTATCGTAGTACTGAAAACACATGAAACCTTTCCTAGGCTATTTTTGCAGAATGTTCAAAAACCCAAGGTTTCTAGTCGAAAATCCAGTTTTAGGCACCCGTATTACACTTTGAAGAAAAACCAAGGTGATATTCGGAATCAGCGCATCAAACTACATCGAATGATATGTAGCTCAACATATTTAAAAAAAACCTTTTATTTTCTTAAAAACGATTTTCTTAGTGGTATAATGTCGTTTCTAGTCAAATTAAAGCCATTCCTAAGCAAAAAAACCGCATGTTCGCCTCCTTATGCAAAAGCTCCCCGCTATGTGTCGGTGGCTGTGAGCATGGCGCGCGGGTATGGGTGTAGGGTGTGGCTGTGGCTGTGAATCTCGGTCGTGCTCTGCGGTCTGGATGTGACTGTGGTGGCACGTTTTCAGCGAAATGACAACCTTACCCATAGCACATCCAACCAACCGCCCACACCAACAGCTACACCCCACATCCATTCCATTTATGTCGTATAATGTAATGTCCAAGTCCACTGCTCATTTCGAATGATATGCTGAACAACAACACGAAAACTAGTCTTTGAATATTTGTTTAAGGAGCTGACGAAAAACACTTCACAGTGCTCAATCTATCTGTCTGCATTTCTTTGTTTCGGGTGATAAAATACAACAGAAAACTAATCTTCATATTCTTTTCTAACCTGTCCTCCAATTCAACTCATCTTAACGACTCAGCTGGCCTTGTATTTACGTTATAGGGTTTGTCGTGCTCTGTTCTTGACAACACTCTTCGAGAGTAGGTTATGTATTGTTTACACTTCTACTCGGCAGTGTGTTGTACCATAAGACAGCTAGAGAACAAAAAAAAACGACAGAAACGAAAAATTTGAAGCGTATTATAAGAAGCAACGAAAATTGAAGACTTGCGCCGAACATTCACTTTCTTAACGACATCATAAAATGTCGACAACTCACGAGTCGAGTTGAATTTTCTCGTCTTCTTTTACGCACAGGATTGGATAGCGTGATCTACTGATCACTAAAAATATCTAGATCTTCATTTTCTGAACGCATTTTGATATCGAAAAAAATGGCAAAAACTTCCAGCGTCTCATTTTCCTGAGTATTTGTAATTTATGCAAACAATATAAACACCCGAATTTTCAAAACTACTTGAAACCACCCACACTAACTTTCAGTCGCACCCATTTTGCATTTGAACTCCAAATGCAAAAGGGAAGTGGGTGGGTGTGGGTATGAGTTGTTGGGTAGGTGTGCAGTGAATGAGGCTCTCGTTTCCCAGAAAGGATGTGGGTGCGGATGTGGGTGTAGGTGTGGGTGGGGTGGGGGTGTGGGTGTGGGTGTGGGTGAGGGTGTGGGGGTGTGCTTGGGGGGGGGGTGCGGGCGAGGGCGCGTGGGTGTGAGAATGAACACCCAATCATTAAAGAGGCACACCCACATCCCCCCCACACACCCACCCACACACCCACACCCACACCCACACCCACACCCACATCCACACCCCACATACCCACACTCCACACACCCACACCCACCCCAAAAGCTGTACAGCATATATTAAAATCTTTATTCTATGTGTATATTTTTTGTTTTCAAAACTGGCGAATTTGTTTGGGATCGATTTTCGACGCTGCGAAAAGGTTACTTTCTGATCAGAGACCGAAACGAGTCAAGAAAATCCGGAATCGACTCGACTCGGTTTCGGTCTAAAGTCAGTTCATCGAGATCTATTCATAGCACGGGTATGCGTAATGAACTGAAAAAGACGAACTGACTTGCGATGAATGAACCTTCTGTCGTATCGACCAACCAAAGGATCAAAATAGCCTTTGACACAAAACTTCTCAAAGATTTATCGAAGACTTTCCAAATTCCGAGTCCTTCTGGTCAAACTCGACTCGGTCTGAGTCGAGTCGAGTCGAGTTGCTGAGTACTCGACTCGGTTTCTGTCTCTATTTCTGATATGTGGCGAATTCATTCATTCTAAATTGAACCTTTTATAACGTGATATACTTCGTTTAAAAAAAAACAAAGTAAACCACAAGATGCTGATTGAAAAGCTCTACAACTTATAAGGTACAAATTATTTGATAAGGACAACTTTGGTTTTCAAAATGGATAACATTCTTTCCGACCAATTTTCATTGCAGCGAACAAGATCACCGAATGGTACAGCGCATGTTTCTAATTCGAGCAGCTTTTCAAATGTCTTGAGAGTTTTCTTTTATTTCGAAAAAAATTATTTAGCAACATATAGGTGATTTTATATCTTTGAGTAGAAAAATCAAGGGGAAAACATGATAATTTTGCTATTTTGACCTATGTTAAAGTACCTAAAGTATCTGAAATGACGGTACAGTACCGTAAAGTATCTCAAACTGTCTTAAAGTACGTGAAGTATAAAGTATCATGTTTTTCCCTTGAGAGCTTTTCAAGCTACATTTTATGGGGTATTTTGTTTTTAAAAAAACCGTTCTAAGTAGTTAAATAAAAGAACTACAAAATCTGGCTATTCATTGCGTGTCACGCGATATCAAACTTTTCGGCAACTGACCCTCATTAAATTGAATGCTGCTTTCATGAACCTCCCCTCTTTGATGATGGTTTTTGATGAGGGAAAAAAATCAAATGGTATTGAAAATCGATGAAGCGAAAGATCGTAGTAAATCATTCATTGATTTTTCTCATGTAACCCTTAATCTTTGATCCCTGACTTTTGGGCCTTCTGTCTAGAACAGACGGAGAGATAGAAATTAGGGATGTGGCAGCTTCGTTTTGGCTCATTGAGCTCGGTTGAATTTCTTCACTCTTTTGAGGTGAGCTCAAGGTAGGAGTGGGACAGTTTGGTTATCAATAGACCTCGCTCAGACATTAATGAGCTGGTCATAATCAATGTGAGCCAGCTCATCCGGCTCATTGGCATGTGAGTTGTTATGCACCTAATGAAAATTCAGAGAAAAAGTTGTATTATAGTGATTAGGATTATTTTTATTCGTTCGTTTACCTCTAACCATTGGTAATTGTCAATAGTAGTGAAAAGCGGCGACCTTTTCTTAGCTTTTAAACAATTCTTCAAAAGCTTTGCTCAACCGATGAAGAATTCTATGAAAGCGTATTGTACTAATTCTTGCAACGTATCAATGGTCGATTGCTTTATTAATCCTTGGTATCAATGAAGTTGCTGTTTTATTTGTAGAATGAACATATTGTACAGAAGAATTTTGAAAAAAACATTACATTTCGGATTTACCGCGATATTTTTGGTATACGGATTCAAGTATTGTATACAATCACTAGACACAGCTAAAGGCACCGACTCAAGATGCTCTTTCAATAGATATGTCGGCAATGCTGTCATGACCCAAAACAAATCGAACAAGCTTATTCTATTTTGGACATCAAAGTTCTTTTTCACGCCTGCATCTCTAGAGGGATACAATAAAATTTATCATGAAGGTATTTGTCCGTATTCACAATGTGAAATAACATTTGATCGTTCAAAATTGTGCGAGAGTTCAGCTGTAGTGTTTCATTTATATGATATGCATTTAGACGACTTACCATTGCCTAAACAGCGTTTACAACATCAACGGTACGTTTTATGGACCGTAGAGCCTCCATACCGTGTCCCCAAACGTGTTGCTCAAATGAATTCTTACTTCAATTGGACAATGACTTATCGTCAAGATTCGGATATATTGTCGAGAATTATGTTCTGGAAGAAACGATCATCGCCCATATCGAACAATAAAACAGATCATTTAAATGACCGTCAACCACGTGTATTATGGCTTGTTAGTAACTGCCAATCCGATAGTCGTCGGGAAGATTACATGAAACGTTTGTCGAAAGTAATACCAACAACGATAATAGGTAAATGCCGCAACATCCTCTCGTCTTTATCAACATCATCGTGTGAAAATCTATCTGCATATGATTGTCTTCGTATCCACGCCCATAATCACACATACTATTTTGCGTTTGAGAATTCGTTTTGCTTAGATTACATAACAGAAAAATATGACTATCAGGTGGCTATGAAGCATATGATACCAATTGTTTATGATTCAAATGAACATAATAACTACAAGCGTCTGGCTATACCGAATTCATATATTGATGCATCTCAATTCAAATCACCCGAAGTTCTTGGACAATACCTAAACGATCTTATACTTTTAGGCAGCGGTTTCAATAAGCCAAAATATAATAACTACTTTCAATGGGCAGATCGTTATGAAATATCTTTTTATAATCAATTCGAATATCGATGCACACTTTGCCAAAAGTTACATCTGGATGAAGGCTCTACTAAAATCTATTCAAACATCAAAAAGTGGCTCTTTCAAGATGCGAAATGTTATCGATGGTCTGACAGTGACAACGGATTGGTTAAAGTGCCACAGAGTCACACAATGATTTTCTCTAATCGGATTACGGAAGAAACATTGAGCATAGCTTCAATCTAGAGTTAATACACGAAGCGGTAAATAGCGAATTTATTCCGCAGCATGAGTCAAAAGTCACCGGATAGTTGTTGATTCCGAAGAACTTTAACGTTTGTTATCTGTTCATTCCAAATTCACCATGCATATAGAGCAATGTTTGATTTAAAGAAGTGTACAGTGCAATCAATGAATAACAGTGCTCCAAATGTCCGCCTTCAGCGATGGGGAAGTTATAATAGCGGGATTCCACTGAGCGACAGATTGAGGCTGCGGGTGTGGGCGTGGCCGTGGTTTTAATTAGATGAATAAGCACACCCACATCCACACCCACATCCACACCCACACCCCCCCCCCCCCCCCCCCCCCCCCCCCCCCCCCCCCCCCCCCCCCCCCCCCCCCCCCCCCCCCCCCCCCCCCCCCCCC